TTTCTTTGCGGCTCGGCCTTGATGCCAAAGTTGGCAGTAAATTGCACATCCTTTGGCATGTACTGCCGACGTGATGTCTTTCCAGGAAGTGATGTGGTCTTCTTGCCAGATTCCGGGAGCATTTTGGGCGCCGATGGCGTTCCTGGAGATGATGGTTGCTTCGCTGACAATAAGGGTGCCTGGTACACATGCTCGTTGCTCATAATACTCTGCGATACTTGGTCAATATCGGCCCTTCGTTGTGACGGTGTTCAAGGTACCTTTGTTCATGAGCGTCGCCTTGTAGTCGTCGCCCATGCGATACCGGGTCAACGGTGCCATTGCGACACGATGACCTAACTTTACATCGCCGACTGTCAATGGTTGGAAGAGTTTCGTCATCTTGGCAGTCGATGTTGGTACAACAGAAGACGAGGTAGGATCTGATCAAGTAGTCTCGCAAGAACTGTAATGGCCTACAATGTCAATGCTTCGTTGCACTTTTGAGCGTGTATGGCTGTGTCTACCACACATATTATGGCCATTGCCCAAGCACTGTGATGGGTCACCATGGTCGTTATCGGCAACCCACCTGGGCAGGCAGCCTCGCAAACCCCACCTGACACATGGCATCTGTCAGTCTCAGCCGTGATGCCGAGAACTCGCCTGAATACCTTCAATGCCGTTTTCAGCGTTATGGTCCGATGTCAATACGAACAGCCATCGGCGAAGGGCCCCAGGGGCCGAAAGTGCGTCGGCTCAAAAAGTCCCGATGAGATGGCCCCGCACGTGCCCTGCTAGGACGACCCACTTTGCAGCCTCGCCGTCATCGGCTTTCATCCCAGAATGCCACTTACGCCATCGAAGCGTGTAAGCGTTTCTGCCATGTGAGTGGGCCTCTCAGCTGTGACTGGCTGCTTTCGCAATTCTTCTACGAGGAACACACCTCCCGACGATCTCGCAGCTGTCGACCGGCGTCATGACAGGGCTCAGTCCCGCTCGGGCAGCCTCCCGGGGCTCCACGCCCAACTTCAACGCTAGCTACGATGTCTGGGACCGCTGGTTTTGTTCCAAATATACACATATGCAGAATCGCTATGTTTTGGAGGCTTGTAGCGACTGTGGAAGAATCCGATGATGCGGGAACAGCACACCTCCATTGACGAGATGGAATCGACGCGACCCATCAAAGAGAGCGATACATGCGTTGGCCATACTCTCGTTGAGAAGCCATCCATAGACGACGAGCCACGCGAATCAGACATACCTACAACGAATCCTCATGGCGCGTCCCCTTCGCCTACCGAGGATGACGACGACAAGAGCGACGCAGCATCCATCGGCGGCCAAAGGAACACCATGACATCGACACAACTTCGAATCGCAATCCCCGCACTATCAGTCTGTCTCTTCGTTTCGTTCATCGACCAAACCAGCGTCTCGACAGCAACACCCGCGATCGCTGTGGATTTGAACACCGGAACTGCAACATCATGGATTGGCACATCGTTTCTGATCGCATCGACGGCATTCCAGCTGATCAATGGCCGTTTGTCGGATATCTTTGGTCGCAAGAATCTGTTATTGATCAGCCTCATGTTGATGGCTCTGGGAGACCTTGGATGTGGTTTCGCGCGAACTTCAGTGCAGCTATTCGTTCTCCGTGCCATTGCTGGTATTGGAGGTGGCGGCATCAACAGTCTTGTCATGATCATCGTTAGCGATATCACAACGTTGCAGAATCGGGGTAAATATCAAGGTATGTACCGTTGTGTATCTTATAACCAAGCAGTGCTAACAATCTTCTGTAGGATGGCTAGGTGCAGTAATCGCCCTGGGAAACGGTGCAGGACCTTTTCTCGGAGGTGCTATCGTTGAAGGCGCGACTTGGAGGTGGGTATTTTGGATAATACCCATTATGACTGTACCCACCTCCATGGTCATACTGTTCTTCTTGCCGCTCAAGCATCGGTCTGGTGACTACCTCGCAAAGGTTAAGAGGATTGACTATGGCGGCATGGTACTGAACATTGCATCCACGTTACTCCTGCTCATCCCCTTGTCAGGAGGTGGTGTGACGTATGCATGGGGATCTCCCTTCTTCATCGCCTGCACTGTTACCGGTGCCGTGCTTGGTGTACTATTCGTGCTTCACCAATGGAAACTCGTCGCTTTGCCGATCATGCCGCTTCGATTATATCGTGCGCCGCACTGCTGGGCACTCTATCTACAGACGTTTCTCATCGGTCTCGCGTACTTCGGCAACTTCTTCTACCTTCCGATCTATTTCCAATCGGTTCTGAGGTACTCGCCCTTGGCCTCAGGTGCTTTGATCCTACCGGTAGTCATCACGACATCATTCGCGTCCATCGCATCTGGTCAGTACATGAACCGAGTCGCCAGCTACATGCACTGCATCCTGGCCGGATTCGCCCTCTGGACTCTTGGAAGTGGCCTCACCCTACTATTCGACCGAGACACGGGCCTTGCTGTGCTAATTGTTGTGCTCATCATAGAGGGTGCCGGTATTGGTCTGACACTTCAACCAACCCTTGTGGGCATGTACGCCAACAGTCGCAATGAGGATCGTGCTGTGACAACTGGCTTACGCAACTTCATCCGCACTATCGGTGGCGCTTTTGGCCTCGTCATCTCGGGAGTCATCCTTTCGAATACGCTCAGCAGAGATTTGTCCAAGCGGCCCTTTGTCTCGGATACCCTGATGGCCCAGTTGACTTCCTCAACGTACGACCTCGATAAGTTTGGCCTCTCGCTGGATCAGAAAGAAGAGGTTTTTGATACCTACATGCTTGGTCTGCATTACATCTTCATCTTTTTTACGGTATGCTCAGGTCTTGGTCTGGCTCTGACGTTCTGGGTCGGGAATACCAGCTTGAAAGCGCCGAAAAGGTCGGACGAAGAAGAAGGGCAGCCGATGGAGACGCAGGACCAACCTCAGCAGCACGTTATCCAAGGTCGAGAAGTCGCGTCGGAAGGGGAGGTCTTTGATGAGAAGAGGCCAATGACAGGGGAGGCTGACGTAGAACGCAACGTTCACACAAGATGAGCGATCATATAGTACATCATCTGGGCTCAAGGATGATTTTGCGAAGTACTTGTTCGGGCCTTGTTGATCTGTAAAAATAAAAGTCTCGTAGACATACTTCATAGAAGTTTGTAGCATGCAGCACATTTACCAAGACCATCAAACTATTCCACCATTAGGGCAATCCCTACGCACCACAAGTCTGAGTCCTGATCTTGCACGTGAAAAACATGCATTCGTCCTTCTCGTACGCTGCCCTCATGGCCAAGTGCCAAGTACCAACCGAGTGAAGCGCGACGATTGAAGGAGACCATCAAATGTACACTAGCGACTTCGGAACTTGAGCGCAGCATTACCCCGCAGCAAGACCCATTTTCCACTATCAATTTACTCGAGAACCGTCTCCAACTCAACCTGGTCCTTAATCCTTGGTATGCCAACTTAGGTAGGTCAGTACAGCCCCACAAAGGCCGGTCGTTATCGGCGAGTCGAGATTGGCCTATCTCTCGACGATCCCCCCTCCAAGCCATGTTCTCCATACGGTTGCTTCCAAGCCGATAGACATTCATCCGTCTGATAACACCGCGGTGGGTCACAGCCGGCCGCAGAAATGACATCGCATCGTGAGGCACGGCAGAGGATGAAAGATGGCCGATTACGTGAGGACGTCACGGATGAGAATGGCCGATAGCTAGGTAGGCGATGGAGAGTGGCCGCCGCGACATGCTCCGCTGGTGATACATATATGCTGCATCGCGAGACTTGTGTGTTTACTACTTCAAATCTACCACATCTTCTACAATCAATTCAAGCTGATCGTTCTCCAAACTTCGTCATCATGCCTGAAGTCTACGCCGCACCACCCGACTACGCCTTCCCACGTAACTTCAAGGGTTACGGCGAGAAGGGTCTACAGGGCTTGAAGTGGCCCAACAACGCCAAAATTGCCGTATCTTTCGTCATCAACTATGAGGAGGTGAGTTCACATGCAATCTTATCTTGGATGCATAACTAACAAACCACAGGGTGGTGAGCGCTCAGTCATGAAGGGTGACGGAGTCTCTGAGATCAACCTCCGCGAGTACCCAGCCCAACACAGAATCAACGAGCGCGACTACAGCGGCGAATCAGAATTCGAATATGGCTCCCGCCGCGGCTGGTGGCGCATGTTCAAGCTCTTCAACGACTACAAGATGAAGTTCACCCTCTACGCCGTCGGCTCCGCCGTCGAGGAGCAGCCAGAAGTCGTTACTCGATGTGTAGAAGAGGGCCACGATGTCGCTTCTCACGCCTACCGCTGGATTGACCACGCCAATCTTTCTGTCGAGGCTGAGAAACAGCATATCAGAGACGGTATCACAGCGCTGAAGAAGCTCTCCGGCTATGCGCCGAAGGGATGGTACTATGGCCGCCCATCACCACAGAGCAGAGCGCTCATCCCACTAGTATACGAAGAGATGGGTGAGGAGCTGCTGTGGGCCTCAGACGCCTACGCCGATGACCTACCCTACTGGACCGACCTTCCCCAAGAGCGCAGCAGCGCAAACCCCAAGGGATGTCTGATGGTTCCTTACAGCTACGACTGCAACGACTTCAAATTCCACTGCCAAGGAACTGGTTTCCGCAGTACGGCTGCGTTCTACGAGCACATGAAGAACTCTTTCGATGTGCTATATGAGGAGGGCGAGGCTGGAGAACCGAAGATGATGACCATCGGTCTGCACTGCCGTATCATCGGTAGGCCGGGAAGGTTCAAGGCGCTCCAAGACTTTGTGAAGTATATCTCGGAGAAGGAAGGTGTTTGGGTTGCGACTAGGACGCAAATAGCGGAGTCGTTCAGGGAGCAGTTCCCGTATAAGAAGGGTCAGCTCGCGTAGATAGTCAATCGATTCTGTTTCAACGTTCAACTCGGAGTCGTTTGCGCATATGAGACAACAGTGTCTGGGACCTTTCGAACTAAAGCCAATGACATCGCCTATCTATACTCTCCAAAATTCCACTGATTGCCATCCATCATACCGCGGTTATCCATCGACATGGCTGCATCTTGAATGGGGTCCACGCCGTAGAGACCAGAACCTTCATAAGCATTCCAGCTCATCTCAGTCTGGCCTTGGCCAAAGCCATCGAACCTCATTGCTGCAGATGCGGCGTCATCGCTTACCATCTCATTCCACATCCGCCAACCCTGCCACCCACCTGGCGCCTCTTCGTCCACTTCCATGAACGCCTCCTTCACAGCGTCAGTAACCATGTGTGACATGGTAGGCTTACTGCCCAGCGTTTGGTGCTGTGACGTCTGCTCGCGGCTATCTCGTCGGCTTCTTGGCGAAAGTCCTGCCATGGATGGCTCTGCGTCAACGTCGAGCTGCAGCGGTCGCGAACCATTGCTATGCATCATGGTAGTAGGCGCCGAGTTTACGATCGTCTTGAACAAGCTTCCGGATAGCGCATCGAAGATATCGCGGTATTTGACGGCACCTGGCCATTTTTCACCGAAGATGGTCAGGATCTGAGAACAGGCCCGTGTCGCCTCGAGAACGTCGTAAGAGAAAAGGGATCGATCTCGCCAGATGCAGTACACCAGTGTCAGGCCAGCTACAAAGCACGAATGTAGTGAGATCATCGTGTAAGTGAGCGTCCGATTTTGGCTTAGTCGCTTGTATGCGTTGCAGACACAAGCGGCCGAGCGCGCGCAAGTGAGAAAGCGTATGTCCGAGGTGTCCAGCGTAGGAAGAAAGACGGTGAAGAGGTAGAGCATCGCTTTGTGATACTGGACGCCATAAAAGTCTCGCGCATCGAGATACGCGCTTTCGGGATCGTACATCCAAGTAATCTTGTTCCCATTCTTGGGTGTCTGTGGATATGTTCGTAGCCATTCATCCAGGTCGCTCCGGATTGTAGCCATCTTTCGGTCAAGTTTCGCCCGCTGTTCTGGCGTCCCGTTGAAGACATCTCTATCGACGCGAAAGACTGTCTTATGGATCCGCGACTGGATCTGATCAAGCTTGATGATGTGTATGAAAGGCTCGATATTCGACCATTGGGGCCTGATCGAGTCTGGCTCTTCCGGATGCGTTAATGTCCAGAACTCAGGACTAGTACTGGGAAACTTGAAGAGTCAGTTCATGTATCACAATCTGCTTTGGCGACATACCTCGACGTTGATATCTCGGTCAGCGATAGCAAAAGCTCTACCAAGCACAATGCTAGTCACTCTGTCAAGGCAGTAACACGCCCAGAACGCACGTCGCCGCAGTTCAGCATCTCTTGCAAGCTCAGGAGAGCCTGTGACCTTCTTCTTCCTGTGTAAGCCCATCTCAATGCAGACAGAGGTCGCATATCGAATCTGGGACCAGGCGCCTGCACCATATGGAGACCTCTGGCCATGCACTCCAAGCAGGATAAGAAACTGCACTGTGGCGAGGTTGTGCTGGTCGAGGATGTAGTCCATTGGCTCAGTGGCTGCGACAAGATGATGCTCAGAATCCACCCCACATGGCTTCCGCGTCAACGACAGGAATCGAGCAGTAATGGCATATATGAGATGGAAAATGCTGCGTTCAATGATAGTCAGGGCACCTCGCACAAATTGCTTGTCGAAGAGCTTCGTGTAGACTACACGATCCAGCAATGGCCAGCGCGTGTGAATACGTTCGAAGAATACGTCAAATAGCATGCGTGCCTGTTGTCGGTCTGGGAAATCCGCAACGGGCTCATCGGAGTGAGTAGACTCGGGAGGAACAGGAGGCCGTGAAGTTCCGGTAGCCTGGCATGTTTGGCTCACTGGCAAAGCTGTTGCTCTCTTGCCAGAACTTCGGAAGATGGAGGACTGAATGATGCGAGCAATGGTAGCGCCGGAGCTAGAGCCGACATAGTAAGGCTCTGAGGTTGTATCTGTGGTACCAGATGCACATAAGGAGAGATACGCAACACCATCGACGAGTGAGGTACGATCCTCACCCTCAAGATCTTCAGAGAAACAGTCATCTCGGGATTCGCGACGTGATGCACTGGACTGGGGGTGAAGAGCGAGCGCCGGCTCTTCAACGTTAATGGAAGATGTTCTTTGCAAAGTTTCTGGGCCGTTTTCATAATGGTCCTCTGCATGGTCAGGAAGACGGGCCTCCAGAAAAGCGATCCGCTCTTCTAGGGCGTTGATATAGCTGAGAAGTTAGGAAACAGTTCGTGCGCATGTCAATGGCCGTGGGAAGAACCTACACAGACTTGCCGCCGGGGTACTGAGGACGAATAGTCCTTTCATACGCACAGGCTACGCCAGCTCGCTGGCAAGATCTGCAGACTGGATGCGCACCGTCACACTACATGATTCTTAGCCAAGGTGCATGAAGCAACGTCCCACGTGACGTACACGCTGCTTTCTCCGTTTGCATCTTTTGCAGGCCAAGGCCACCCGAGATTTCCTAGTCGTAGGACCTGGGTTTGACGCGTTCGACTGAGCTTCCTTCGGAGAATTGGATGCGGGTACTGCGTCTGCGGCCGTTCCCACACCCCGACCGGAGGAGGGGCTTACGGGGCTCTCTGGGTAGGACTGCAACATGTCCTCGTCGTCAGGAGTATGGCGTTGATGCAACAGCCCTGCAGCTGTCGGCTCTGATTCATACCGTTTGGCTCCATATTTCCCACGTGCGATAGTCCCGTTGAGGCCCAGGTGGAATGTGTGAGCCGACGTGTGTCTTATCGCGAATTATCCATGATAGGCTAAGATGGCACGGGCCTCCAATGGCTTTATCTCGGCTGCACCCATCCGGCGCCTGGAGACCCCAAAGATTGCGAAGGAACTACGCCATAACAAGCAACATATCGGAGTTCACATCCTCCTCCTATCTTCACCCCTGTCCTTTATCGCACCGCTCACGTTGATGTCAGGCTTGGGAATGACTGATGCGCGCATGGCAACATGGCACATCGGCTAGAAAGTGCCCGAAGAGGCTGCGCCAGAAGCCATGCTCGTGGTCAATCACAGCCCGATATGCGTGTGATACGTGAACGACTTGGAGTCGGCGTGACGTCCGATCGACATATGAGACACCATGGTCCGCCGACATGAAGAGGATTTGGAGGATTGATCACGCCCAGTAGTCGTCCAAACCACACCATTACAGCACCATGGGGAAAGTCCAACTTCCGACCAAGGACCAGATCGCGGCGCCCTTTCGCTCGAAAGAGGCCTTTGTCGACTTCATCAGGGCTCCCCAAGGCAACGACGGCCATGCCCCAATCGGGGACGAGAGATGGTCTAACAAAGATCTTGAGCCAACGCCGGTGGAACAGAGGACTTGGACCTGGTAAGGATCTTGTCGACGCACATCTTTGAGCTTTTATTGACAAATGAAGGTTCAATCTTCCTCTATACTGGTTCTCGAACCAGTTTTCCCTCGTTGGTTGGAATACGGGCTCCGCTCTTGTCACAGTCGGTCTGGTAAGCTACGTCGAAGCATGCAAGCGGAATCTGGGAACTGAATGCATAAACAGACATGGCAACAATCCTTTGTATCAGCCTGCATTGGGTCTTTCCTAGCAGCAGTCGTAGTCGTCCTCATGGCTCGTCCAGGCGCCAAGTACCACATAGGATTTCCTGTGATTGCACGCTCAGTCATGGGCATGTACGGTTCCTACTTCTTCGTATTCATCCGAGCGATCGTATGCATCATCTGGTACGGAATTCAGTCTTTCTACGCCGGTAACATCCTCTCGGTTATGCTCCGTTGCATCTTCGGTAGCTCATGGCAGAACTTCACGAACACACTCTCGCCTACCGCAAGTGTCACCTCGAAGCAGCTTCTGGCTTTCTTCATGGCCTGGCTAATGGAGTTTCCGTTCATGTGGGTCCACCCCAGACACATCCATTATATCTTCACTGTGAAGGGATTCATCATGCCAATCGCCGCCTTCGCCATCTTCGGATGGTGCATGGCTAACGGTGGAGGACTCGGCGCTATGGACCTTGCTTCCAGCGAAGGCGAGCTTGCCGCCTCAGTGACTCCTTTGGGATGGAGCATCATGGCCGGTATCAACACAATCTTCGGTTCTCTCTCGCCCATGTTGGTCAATCAGCCTGACCTTGCTCGTTACTGCAAGAAGCCTCGGGATGCTGGTGTGACTCAAGGTGTCAGCGTCTTCGTGTCCTCCATCATTGTCTTTTTCCTTGGCATGGCCTCAACCACTTCCATGCAAGCAGCATATGGTGTTGCCTACTGGAACATCTGGGATCTCTTCGAAGCCATCCTTGACCACCACTTCGGCGCCGGAGCGCGTGCGGGGATCTTCTTCGTTGCTTTGGCGTTCTACTTCGGTGTCTTCGCCACAAACTTTGGAGCCAACTCAATTCCGTTCGGAAGTGATATGACTGGCCTTTTCCCCAAGTGGCTCACCATTCGCCGTGGACAAGTGCTTTGCGCCATTCTTGGTGTCGTCGTACAACCATGGGAACTGATGAAGAACGCAACGGCCTTCTTGAGGTAAGTTCCCCAATGGGCTTCCCACTTACTATGCTAACGATGAATTAGTTTCTTGGGTTCTTACAACATCTTCATGGCCCCTCTTTGCGCCGTCATCATTGTCGACTACTACATCGCGCGCAAAGGAAACATACATATACCATCGTGCTACGATGGCAAGAAGACAGGTCTCTACTGGTACTGGTCCGGTGTCAACTGGAGTGGTGTAGCAGCCTGGCTACTTGGTACAACTATGGGTATCCCTGGCCTTATTGGCCAGTACGAGCCACAGATCATTTCGGCGGCTGCGCAGAACATGTACCGCATGGGCTGGTTGCTAACTTTCTTCACCGCGGCGACGGTCTACTTCGTCATCACCTTCTTCGTCAAACCGCGTGTGTTCCCTGTTGGACGCGAAAGCACGCCCTTCCAACGGGAATGGCTAGCCAATGACGGCCGCGAGGGCTTCTTCGACGGAGACAGGGATGATGGTGTGATTTATGGCGCCTCAACGCCACCAATGACCGACGGAGGAGAAGATGTTGAGATTGGCGAGAAGTCACCAAAGGTCACCTTTTGAGCTCAGAGCAGCAACCTAGATTGCAACAGAATCGAAACCATGTACTTACATCATGTTATTGCAATACGATAGATTTGAACAATAACCTACTAAGAAAGTACGACACTTCATTAGACTTGTTATGATATCATAAAGTTGAGACTCCTGATCAGGCGGCTGGACCTGTGAACTACGCAGGTGTGATGTTGTTCACGTGTTTCCTAGTACCGACATGGACTGAGCAATTCCGATCGGAACCAGCATTCCGAAAAAGTGGGATGCCGTTATCGGCTCCAACTTATTAGTACAACCGGTATATCCTTGTTGGGCAAGTGTTTGGCTATCGCCTATGAGCGGGTCTGGACGGGACACGCAATTGCTCCCTATCACGATGCGGGCTTTTTGGGCCGATGGCATCGCTGACGCTGACAGGTCGCTGCCTTCGGCGTCTGGATGTGTCTCCAACTCCAACGGCTTCAAAGACCACTTCTCCAATTCCTCTTCTTGACATTACAGCCAACCTAAGAAAGCAAAACGGGAACACCTGCGATTATCTATACAGCAACGATACTTGCAATTACTAAATTATACGAAGCCATGAGCTCTGATCTGTATAAACTTACAGCCACCGAGATCTCGGCGAAGATCAAAGCAGGCGAAACCTCAGTCGAAGAATACGCAAAATCACTCCTCGGTCGCATCGAAGCTCGTGACGAAGCTGTTCAAGCATGGGCATACCTAGACCCTGAGTACGTTATCAAGCAGGCGAAAGCACTTGATGCCGTTCCACAGGCCGAGCGTGGTCCTCTCCATGGTGTTGCCATTGCCGTAAAAGATGTCATCTACACTAAGGGTGAGCTGCCATAACCATCTCTTCATCTAACTCAACTAATCGTGTAGAAATGCCAACGCAGTTCAACTCACCCATATATGCCAACGATGCGCCACAAGTAGACGCTGGCTCCATAGCGATACTGCGCAAGAGCGGTGCACTCATCTTCGGCAAAACAACCACGACCGAGTTTGCTGCGACAACAACAGGCCCAAAGACACGAAACCCGCACGACTCAAAACGCACGCCTGGAGGCTCTTCATCCGGATCTGGTGCCGCAGTAGGCGATTTCCAAGCACCTATCGGTCTAGGAACCCAAACCGGTGGCAGCACCATCCGGCCTGGCTCGTACAATGGCATCTATGCCCTCAAGCCCACATGGAACTCAATTACTCGCGAAGGCCAGAAGATCTACTCTCTGATTCTGGACACATTGGGTCTTTACGCACGTAGCGTGGCTGATCTAGAGCTCCTCGCCGATACATTCGCCATCCACGACGATGCGCCACCTCCAAAAGACTTCACAGTGAAAGGCGCAAAGTTTGCCCTTCTCAAAACAATGGTCTGGCCGAACGTGGGCCCTGGCACCTCCGCCGCACTTGACAAAGCCGTCTCGCTACTTCGTGCGCATGGAGCCGAGGTTGAGGAAATAAGCTTACCAGATGACCTTAACGATCTTCCGGCGTGGCACGCGGCCGTACTCAACTCTGACGGCCGAACCGCGTTTCTGCCAGAATACACAGTGGCCAAGGATAAGATCTCGGAACAGCTGGTCGGCCACGTTGAGAACAGCGGAAAGATCTCGCGCAAAGCACAACTTGAAGCTTTCGACAAGATTGCTGCAGCGAGGCCGGTTGTGGATGAAATACTCGGCAGATATGCTGCGGTACTTACACCAAGTGTGCCGGACGAGGCGCCGCTGGGTATTGAGAAGACGGGGAGTGCGGCGTTTTGTTTGATCTGGACGGTAAGCCACGTTCGCGTATCCAGCTGGAGAGAACTTGACTAATGCTTGCGTAGGCACTGCACACACCAGTAGTAAACGTTCCAGGTTTCAAGGGCGAGAACGGAATGCCAATCGGGGTGTCGCTTGTTGCGCCTCGCTACTACGATAGACGGTTGCTCGCGGTCAGCAGCAAGGTCGGTGAAATCTTCGAAGCGGAAGGTGGATGGAAGCGTACCGTATAGCTCTATTGCAAACAAAGTTGAATGGATTGGACCAAAGCATTTGCCGTTGGTCTTCTGGTGAATTACTATTGGTTGTGTGAGTGTGCGTGCTCTGGTTGCCTCGACCAAACTGTTCTACTTGACTCATAGTCAGGTTCGTTTATATCTCCAACGCACTCCCCAAACTCAACTATCACAAATATCTCGGCAAGACCAATAACACGCAAATCACACTCTCACAACAACATCAAGATGACATCACAACAGTTTATCGAAGGCAAAGCAAAAGCCAGGGCGAACGCGAAATTAGACCTGAAAAGGTGTGCAAACAGCGCTCTCCGAGTTCTCATCCGCAGTTCAGTTTCTATATACCTCAAAGCTATATACCTCAAGAAATCCCGGTTTACACCAGAATGGTTTTGTGCGAACTACTTCCTGTTAGAGGTACAAAATCGGTCGTACTTTACACTTGAAGAAGTCATGCTCAAGCTTAAAAGACAAAAGCAGAATGGCAAAGTTGAAGAGCTCGAAAAAGCCCTCTCGCGCTACTCACAAGCTGCACATCGCGAAATCGTAGCCAGACTCTTTGTCTTGCCACGCGAACTTCGCGACATGATATACGATGAGCTCTGGGCCTTGGATGCATGCAAGGAAACACTCATCGATAGGCTTATTGATGCAGACGACAGGAATGATCAACGTAGAGCGCTCTGGATTCAGCGTTATGGGAAGTTGGACTACTTTCTCCCAAGCTTGGCCAAACAGTGGTTTGGGGGGAGGCAGGTGGCAACAGAGATGCTGAAGGCTTTTGGGAAAAGAGATGGGACCGATATAACTCACAACCCGTGCGGGTTTAATTACGACGAGACTTACCACGTCTCGTGGAAAAAGTTAAACGACCTGACCACAGTAAAGACGTTTCACTCCGACGTCACGCTGTACGAGCTCCTGGGAAACATGGCTCTAGTCATCGTCTTCGACTGCATGGACGAGATCGACGGAAACGAGGGTCTAGAGCGTATAGGCATACCAGGAAACTTCAACGCAGAACTTCGCCGCTGCATCAATACGCTTTCCTCTCTGCGCAATCAAAAGCCTCGCCCTGTCACCTTCAAATTCGAGGATCAAACGAGAGGCGTACCCAGCAACATCACCCATCTATTTCGCTCGCTGAGTGGCCCTTTCCACGAACTCCGGCAGTTGGGATTCGATATCAACATCAGATGTCAAACCGACGGCTACTTCCGCTATGTATGGGACATGTCAGGAAGGTACAATACTCACAGCCCTCACACGAACGATGTCGATAAGTGGACTCTGCGAGATTGGAGCCTGAACTTCACGCGAGTGAACGAACAATTCGAGGAAGCTCACTTGATGGGCGAGACCTTCGTGTTTAATCCAAATGGGCCGCTTCGGGGGAGCTTTCGCATCAAAAAGCATGTATGGGAGGCGATGCGCAAGGAACTGTACCGCGCGTATCCAGAAATCGACAATGTGGTGAAGTGGACGAAGAACGAGAAAGGTGAGATATGGATGGACTGTGGATGTGTGAAGGAGAAGCATACTTGCTGCCCTTATTATCTGTGCTACAAGCACGGTGGATGGGATGAGATATCAGATGGTAGGTGGAACACTTCTTGCTACATTTGCAAAGGCCTGGTAGCGCCGGCGTTGTAGCGACAACTAAGGTTGACTCCATCGAGGAAGGAGGGAATTTCGGCAACAGGCAAATATGCGGTTCTTTGGATGAAGATCAAGTCTTCCAATCGAGTGCCCTGTCACAGCAAACACACAAGACAGTTTCAGCAGTACGATCCAACTACATTAAAACCACTCACCACGTTCAAGGAAAGAGCTGAACACCCTGCAGTCTATGTTGATATGGGGGCGATCGTTAGCAACCTTTCAAATGTAAAATTTTGAGTGATTTGCTTCGTTTTCCTGCTATAAGGGGAAGTGTTCAATTTAGCTCTAGTATGAGATGCCGTCATGCAACTGATCTTCATTGCATCCTAACCACATGATGAACATCTTTCTGCCGTTTGCCCACGTGCCTGTTCAGATATCAGATACTACACAGCCCTCGCGCTCTCTGAGAACTCTTTCGTGAAGTATGACCGGAGTCAATGCATACGCAGATCTCACTTCAACACTCTTTCCAATATTTGAGATGCTCCCCTTGAGTCCCCTCACATACCTCGACTTCTTTGCCAGGGAGGTATGCCTCCACCATCACCTTCACCAAGGCCAACTCGGCTGCCTTCCCAGCAGGATGCATACTACTCAACATATGGAGTGTGATCTTGACTTTTTGGAGGGCTCTGAGCGTATTGGCACGCAAGAAGCGGGCGCAAGCGTTCTCAGGGAGTGCCATTCTCATCTGTGACGCGCGAGCCCCAAAATGAATCGTGTGTACGTGTTGAAGTCTCAACGTCCTCAGATAGCGCCTAATATCGTTGATGGAAACGAAACAAAAGGGGATGGTGGTGTACGCGATCATGGCTGTCTCGACGTAGACTTGGCGACAGACACGGAGTAGATTCCAGCGCGCGCGATGTTTTCCGGGTTTCTCCATCGGCCAATATTTCGATGGCATCTTGACTAGTGATCCGCCGAGCGCGAGGCTGAAGATTCGGTTGCGAATCTCAGCAGGTAGGCGAAGGAGGGGAGAATCTCGTGCATTGCTGTTTGCTCTGGGTGGAAGGTCAGTGCCGTTGATATATGACTACAAATGGGATGTTTCTTACAGCTCGACCTCCGATCCGATGGGCTCGACATTGAGGAGACCGCTTTTGTGTTTGCGATAACCGCGTCGGCCACGGACTGATTTCTTGGGCTTGTCACTGAGACCATGGCGAGGAGCGACTTTTTGAGACCGTTGCGGAGGCATCTTGTACTTGAACTGCTGGTGTATTGAGTGTTTTGAATTGCGGCGGGGAAGCTACCAGTGCGAAAGTGGAGGTGAGAAGGTCAAGGCAAACACGACAGAAGAGGAAAGTGCAATGAAAGCACGGGCCTTGTGCGCTTCCGTGTGCAAGAGTGAAGGTTCAGAAAGAATAGAGTGCGCCTTTGAGTGAAGGTGAGAGTCTCAGATAGAAGGAACGCGTTATCAACGAGGAATGCATACAAAAGACGCTACCTCGGTATTCATCTAAGAGGATGACGCATAGTAAACTCGAGCATATATTCCTTTCGCGTGTGCAAGCCTGAAGGTACTATCCATCGAACATTGTGTGAAGATACATTCTCAAGCTTTCGAGAACAGAGACTGGTTCCAGATGTATTATCAAACGCATCCGTTCGCATTTGGACTGACTTTAAGATAGCTGGAGGGTTTGCAGTAAAATGTCGAAGGCGAGATGTTGGAAGCGTGGAAGGAGCATCTCTGGAGAAGGCACAGGCGGATTACATAATGCGGCGGTCGGAGGTGGCTGCCAGATTCGCCGATGACTCTGGAGCTTCGCGTGTCCGACATCATCATCGCTCGCACCCAATCTCCCCATAATGGCGTCGCGCACACGGCTGGCAGCCACTACGGCTTCCGGACTACTGCGAAGCTCAAGACCACTCGCAACCTCAAGGATATCGCCGCTCGCTGCTGCTTTGACAACATCCTCCGCCCGCAGCTTCTCGCAGCTCAACTCGCATTCCGCCTCAGACCCGACCAACATCTTTGCCTTCCAAACCGGCTCTAAGTCGGGTGGCGTTCCTTCGTACTTCTCAACACAGAACCGTCGGCCTGCAAATACAATCATCCGATTCGTGCCACAGCAAACAGCATGGATTGTAGAGCGCATGGGAAAGTTCAACCGCATACTGGAGCCTGGTCTTGCCATCTTGGTACCCTTCATTGATAGGATAGCCTACGTCAAGAGTCTCAAGGAAAACGCCCTCGAAATTCCCAGCCAGAGTGCCATCACCGCGGACAATGTCACACTGGAGCTGGATGGTGTCCTGTACACCAGGGTCTTTGACGCATACAAGGCGAGGTGAGCATGTCGTAAATTCAAATGTCGCGACGATGCTGAAAACCCATAGTTACGGTGTAGAAGACGCAGAGTACGCCATCTCTCAACTGGCACAAACCACGATGCGCTCCGAGATCGGTCAACTCTCCCTCGACCACGTCCTCAAAGAACGCGCCAACCTGAACGCCAATATCACCGCTGCGATCAACGAGGCAGCACAAGACTGGGGTGTCACCTGCCTGCGATACGAGATCCGCGACATCCACGCACCCGAACCCGTCGTCGAAGCCATGCACCGCCAAGTCACCGCCGAACGATCCAAGCGAGCTGAGATTCTAGAGTCAGAAGGTCAGAGACAATCTGCTATCAACATCGCTGAGGGAAAGAAGCAGTCGGTCATTCTGGCCTCCGAGGCCTTGAGGGCTGAGCAGATCAACATGGCAAACGGAGAGGCTGAGGCTATCCTGCTCAAGGCCACTGCGACTGCCAATGGAATTGACGCAGTTGCGCGATCCATCTCTCAAGGTGGCGGCGCGGCACAGAACGCCATCTCGCTTTCCGTTGCTGAGAAGTACGTGGATGCGTTCGGTAACCTGGCTAAGGAAGGCACAAGCATCGTCGTTCCCGGCAACGTCGGCGATATGAGCGGCATGATTGCAAGTGCCATGGCAGTATACGGCAACGTCAACGCTTCCCAAGCAAAGGCGCAAGCATCAAAGATGGTCGAGGGCGGAAGCAGCAAGAAGGTTCAAGAGCTCCAAAGTAAGCTGAACGATGCTGAAAGCGGATCCAACCAGATGCACAACGAGATCAACAGGGTCATGGACGAGAGGCTGAGCAAGAGGTAGTCAGCGACCTTGTATGAGAGACGATGGGATAGGAATGGGATACGACTGTACATTATACCACGCTGTATAAATAGCAACGAGCCGCAAGCGACCGCGTCGGGGTTATTGGATATGGGATACCACCCAAAAGCAAGCATCATTCGCGGAGTCTTCTCTCTTCCACTTTGGAACTCCACTTTTCGCATGTCTATAGGGAATAGCGAACTTAACTACACTTTCAACTCATCCTTTATCCCGCAACCTAAACTAACCGCTCTACAGCCTCAGCAGCCAAAACCGCAATCTGCTTCCCATCCTCCCAAATCCAATCATGCCCACCCTTGAGATCCCTTACATTAACAACTCTCCTCCCCTCCTCCTTAACCTCATCCTCATCATCCCCAACCTCCATAACAATATTCCACCCCTCCCTATCCAGCGTAACACACATGACATCCCTCTGCGCCCTCTCCACAAGCTCATCCTCATAGCTATGACAAAGCATCAGCAGCTTCCCCTCCGGCCACTGCTCCCTATTATATTTCCCCGCAACAGGCGACACAGCCTGCCACTCAATGTACCCTGACCTCTCACCAAAAGCGCCCCTCACAAACTCTTTGTAAATTTTCGAAATGTATTCTGGTGTCGTAGGCGGGAGGTGGTTCCGTATCATGAGTGGTAGACTGTATATACCTGATATCAAGATCATGGCTTCAGGGAGAGGCGTGGGGAGAAGGTCGGGTGTAAGTCCTATACCGGAGACGAGTTGGCATAGCAGTGTTGCGCCGCAGGAATGACCTATTCCTATCCATCGCTTGACTCCGTATTCGCGCTGGAGATACTGGATACCGCGGGCGACATCGCGGATGTGTTGCGGGTGTCGCGCTGAGCGCTCTGGGTCGTCGGGCGCACTTGGTTGCGTCGCGTGGTCGGGGTACGGCGAGAGTCTGTAGTTTAGACTTGCGATTCCGCCAATTTTCCCTAGAGTAGAGGCGTGCGAGGCGGCGAGGTGGGTGATGGTGGGTGTGAAGCTAGGGGCTTCGATGAGGGGGTCGCGCCAGGCGCCGCCGTGGATGTAGATTAGCCATGGCGCGTCGTTGCTGGGTTTGGATGTGGCTTCCTGGCGTTCGGGGAGCCAGACGTCGAGGGTTTGGAGGCGACTTGGGGGATCGCTGTAGGGGATTGAAGGGATGTGTCTGGGGAATGGGGTGGCTGTCATGTTTTAGTTTGATTGGGGAGTGGTTGTTTGGCGGGGTGTGCAGGTGCCAAACTTTGAGGTGTGCCGAGGTCGGTCACTTTTTACGTTTGTAGTTCAATGAACCTTATGTTCGAGTCAAAACTCTGAAGACTTGACAAAACATCACAAGCATGGAAGAAGTGTTTTGAGCATGAATGTTTGATATATTTTCCCATCCAGTACACAAAAAAGAGTACTATCAACCTCATGACCATTGGTTTCATCCAAGCCATGACTAAACTAAACAGACATTATTCCCGTCAAAGACACATGCCAGTGTCGACGCCCATGGTATTGCGATGCAGGTGTGTAACGCAATGCTAATGCAAAACCCAAGGTATCTCAAGGACCGCTATCCTCATAAAAATAAACTCTCGAAGCTAAAACGACAAAACAATTGGTGTGGGGAGCGTTTACAAGAACGCGGCCATGAAGGCACCGAAGCCAACAATGCTACCAGCGGCAGCTTTGACGTTGACGGCAGCACCGGTGGCATCAGCACCGTCGGCGCCAGTGCCAGTGGCATCAGCATCAGTGCCAGTAGCGTCGGCACCGGTACCAGATGCGTCGCTGCCGCTGCCGGTGGCATCAGCATCGGAAGCAGTGGGCGAGGCAACAAGAGCGACAGTGGTGCTGTTGTTGGCGCTGACGGTAACAGTGCGGGTGGAGTTGACCATGGAGCCAGTGCCAGTTCCAGCGAGGGTAAGAGTGTGGACACCAGGGCCGACAGCAGGGATGTCAGCGGGTACTGGCTGGGTGGTAACGGCGGCGGGCTGGCTGGTCACGGCATCGGGCTGAGTAGCGATGGAGGTATCAGCAGCGGGCATGCCAGTAACGACACCGAGAGAGTTGGTCTGGGTGAGGTAGGTGGTCTGGGGAGCCGGGTCGATGGACGATGAAGGGGCAGAGGAAGAGTCCTAGATGAAAATTAGTGATCTGTTCTGCATGGATCGTGAAATGATGATGAACATACCTGAGCCGACGCAACGGCGAAAGCAACAGCGGAGACGAAGATGGAGGCGCGCATATTGACGGTTGTGTGTTGTTTGTTTGGAAACGATTGATCTCTCTAAGCGATAGTCTTTGACTGAAGATATGTCAAGTCGTGAGGATGCGATGAAGACGATGCGAGTAGTGATTGAGTGATGCGAGATGAGAAGCAAACTTCAAGCTTTGCGCGAGACGCGTCCTCCTTTTATTGCCTCTGCTGCCATTTCACCCGCACCCAAGAAACAAGCATCGGAGCTAACCCTGGCCCTGGAGCGCCACTTTGACCCGGCAACCAGCCCTAACGCGAGCCCCATGCTATCCCGGAACAGGCGAACTGTCGACCTGACATGGCCTTAGCGGTTCTCCACAGCCAATTATAGAACCCTCCGTGGCGAGGATGTTTCGTGTTCGTGATGTGGGCGGAGATTTTTTCATTCAATGGTCTTCTGCTTCCAGGCGTCCAGATGGCGATCTTATAAACGTCTTAGACATGGATGCCTGAACATCGTTGCGGTGAGAGTCGAGATGGGAGTCTGTATCCCGTCGCGCCGACTCGGGTGGTCAGCCTCAGGCGCTTGCGGTCGGGTACTGTGCCTCGAGATTTTCCCAGCCATGCCCCGGGTTTCAGGAACCAATTCGCTTCTTCCAGCCCGTGTGGTTCCACCAAACAAACCATGTTCCTATAGGAACAATGCACATCTTGTCGTCATTTCCCCAGCCAATGGCCTGTTACCCTGACACATCCTCCACTTTCCATCGTTTTTTGCCCATGCAGCATGCGGCCTCATGCGCGCCCGTCGAACGTCAAACGTCAAACGGCGCACCACCAACCACGCGTTGCTTTCCCAACCATGTTTCCAACCACGCGCACATGCGCGCCGACCTCGCTATGCTGATACATAATCGATACCGTGCCGCAAACGCTAGTCCCCAGAAACACACCACGACAGGTTAGTATGCCGCAGGTGCAAAATCGTCGCGTTGTTGTTGGCAAGACTAATTACGCGTCCAATGAAGTTAGCTCCTAAAATTAGTTGTCTTGTCGGCGTGACCTCGTGTCGAGAAGATTCGCTGTCTTGTGTGTGATGCCACCTCGGCGGCCGTGCGCCTTCGTAAAGCGCGGGCTGAGCAAGGGGCCTGGATCCGAAAACGGGACCCGAGCCGGTCTGGCCTGAGGCTCATTTCTGATTTCATGCGAAAAGGGTGGTGATGCGAGCGGGACGTTGCAATCGGGACGGTGGGACGATTGTTGAGGACGTTGGTTTTCTCGTATCTTCGGTGGTCCGCAACTGAAAGTTCTCGCAGCCAACAATCGTCGTGTTGACGCGCTTGCTGGATGGGACGCGCCAAGCCCCAGACGGGCGTCACACCTCAACCTCACCAGGCCTTCAACACGTTTGCAACCGTCTCACGAAGAAAAGACGCCTCACAGGGCGCAGTCCCCAATATACTGCCTCTTCCAGGCGCTCGATACAATTAGAGATCCACCATTTATGGGCGTGGCGCTGATACCGTCATCTAAGAAGAGGCTTTGCGGATGACCTCGCTGACTACATGTCTTACAGATGAAGACCATCAAGATGCGAGGAGGCTACAATCAACCCACAGGGCACGAATCAGCTCACCAGGCCAGCTATAGCTGTTCAATCATCAAAACATTTACATTCCCTCATATTCCAGGACGAATTTGCGAAAGCCTTTGAAATTGCACTCAACCGCACGTGTATACCTCTCATGAGCCGAATCATAGCGCTATAGAAAGCCAGATCGGTTGTGTAAAGCCTCATTGGCTTCTGTTCCACTGGCTACATCCAACAGAAGTCTATCACCGCCATCTTTCGGCTTTTCAACTCCTCAATAACCTTTTCAAAGATAACTTTGTACCGCTCCGTGTCGAAAGTTCCTGGTAAGTAATCCCAACGTGGGGGGGAGGCCCTGATGCACAAGCGTCCACCATACCTCTCCATGGGTTCCGCCGCTGTAAGCATTATGTACCGTAAGTGTACCGGGATTGCTTCCCAATCTTTCTCATGCATCTTCTTGCGGTTGTGCCGAATGCGTCCCAATATATGGCCCGGCCAAATGGTAAGATGCACTGTGCTGTAGAAACCTGCGAGGGGTACACCGAAAGCGTGTGAGCGTGCTGTACCGAAGTGGAAGAGTGCGTTGGAATCGACAAAGATCGTACGCGCTGTCTCCCGTGCAATCTTGTATCTCGCTCGCTCTACGAGAGCGGCTACCATTCCCGGATGTGCAAATTTGGGCTCCATGAAGTGCGGCGTGTCGAAAACCGGGTACGGCAGCTCAGGGTTTCCGGTCCTTCGATGGTCCTGCTCTACTGCTACTGAGTCTATCCTCGCCCATGCTAACCTCAGTATTTGATTATGCAGGCTACATTCCTTCCAGAAGGTGGGACATTGGCTGACGGTACCTTGGGTGCGTTCTCTGGCCATACGGTCACCCCACTGAACTTCCAAGTTGATGTGGGATTTTATGCCATCCTGCAGGCTCACCCTATCCCGGGTATAAAGCACATATGAGCGCTTAAATGTGCGATCACGCACATACGGCTTATACATGCGACCGAGCAAGTGATCGAAAACGAGGTCCTGAAGTTCCCGCGGTAGAGCATTGACCCTTGATGTGAGCGAGCGACAACTGCTATAAGCATATCTAGGGAGATCTGCGTTTTCTATGATCGAACAAATGGCTCTGCGATAGGGTTAGCTTCATGGTCTCCGTACGGCAATCTCTCATCTCAGCCTTACTTGTTGCACATGAATAGCTGCCGCTT